ACATAATTGCAAACTTTCTAAAGGTTGTCATGGTGGCTCCTGACAATTTTTTTTTTCAAAAGAAATGTATTCAATTCTCTTCTGTATACCACTGAAATCACCCAACCTTTCTCACCTTTTCCTATAGATTCCAGCTTGATTTGGTTTCTATTATGGGAAAAGCTTATAGGAGGCTAATTGATTCAGCACAGCTTGTCTGACTCAGAAATGAACAGAAGGGGGAGAAAACACTATCTAATTTTTTACCAGCTTGTGAACAGAAGACGGTTTTACACTCTGTCTCCCATGGGGCAGTGTGATGAACTAATCATGTAGCGATCTACTAGGTCACAGCAAATAATTAAGACACTTGTTACAGTGGTCTGTGTACTGCCATCCCATAGTGATTCTGAATGGATTTTCCATAAATTCAAGAAAAGGTCCTTTAAAGCCCTAATTTAAAGTCCACATCATAGCTAATTAAGAACAGTATGGCTCAAAGAAATGCATCATTTCACATCTACTGTGTTGAGAATGTACTATCCTGAGTGCAGAGAAGAAAATCTTCATATTTTTTTTTCCCCTGCTTTAGCTCTTCCCATATCTAAGGTGTCTGCTGGAGAAGGAACACAAACTTTACAGCTTTAGTGATCGGCATGACAAAACAAGGCTAAAGTCAGTTTGCATACACTGGATACCAATTATCTGACATTTTTATATTATAAGACACATTTTTAAATGCCATAGGAAAAAAATGTTCCCTGTCAAAGAGAAGAGTCTTCCTGAAGGAGGAGAGAAGGATAGAGGCTGTTTAACATTTAAAATTCTTTCAGACAGAAATCTAAGGGATCTATCTGTTTCAGAAAAGGTTTTTTTTTAATTGTTGTTTTGTTTTGTTTTTGTTTCTTGTTTTTKGATTTTTAAGGAAAGTTAAGTTACTAATGGGCAAAGCATCCTTTACATGCGAATCTGGCTAAAACCAAAACATAATTTTTCACTTCATAATATTTTTCACTTCCAAGGTGGGATCTCTCAGGACTTCATACCTCTCCTTATGTGACAAGCGTGAGTATCTCTAGTTCGTAATTAGAAATTCTGAAAATCTTAGAAATAAGAAAGTTCCACAAGGTCAAAATGACTTAGAGGGTCTAGTTTTTTGTTTGTTTTTGTCTGTGTTTTGTTTTTTAATGCAGTGGATGACCCAGGCCAACACAAACTTCTAAATTTTCTCTGAATATTTCTTAGAATGTCTGATATGAAATTGTGGGGTTTTGATTTTTGTTTTTATTTTTAAAAATTATAAAATCCTTTCACATTGTGAATATTCTTGAATTACTTCTTCAATTCAGTTTTTTTCCAACTTAGTTGCTGAACTACTATTATAGTTATTTTCTTAAAATTTTGGTTAATCTATTTATTGTATTTAAGAACAGAAAATGTTTTGTCATAGATTTTTCTATGTATACTTGAATAAAGATTAGGAAGATAAATAAATTAATATGGATGCAATAGTTATAATTGCATCTTAATGCACAGCTTAATTAAGGTCTAAATATATAGCTGTACTTTCATTCGAATACTGCTGAAACCCAGAGAAGAGTAGTAATCCATATGTTAAAAAAAGGAATATGAAATTAAGATTTCTATAAAAAATAGTGCAGCAATCATTTTCAGCTAAATGTCATATTCACTATCAATAGATTCTTTTTACTATAAATGAATAATTTACATAAATATTGTAAAATAAATACAAGTATCTACTTTATGAGTAATATAAAGTAGATACTTATCCCAAAATCATCAAAAAAGAAACAAAATTAAGTCAATTGAAAATGATTTAATTGAAAATAACTTTAATTGAATATAATTTAATAATAATGACTGTGGTAATTTAGTAACAGACAAAAATAATGAAATATTTTAAGATTTTAATAAAATTTTAAAAATCTCAAAATTTATTTCAGTAATTTGATTTCAATTTTGCAATGTCCAAATAATAAAATAATGTGAAGCTTTTAATTTTATTTTAAAAATAATTTTAAGTTATTAAAATTATTTTAATAATTTTTATTTTATGGGGAAAAGAGGGTAAAGATTTAGATGAATAACTTGGGAATTTTGATTGAATTTGCTTGCTTTCTGCATCATAGATGGGCCAAATGTATTAATATTATTCAGAATTATCTAAATATTACCTTTAAAATGAAATCACAATAAAAACAATCAACTTGGAATAGTGTAGTAGATTTGAGAAAACTGCATTACATACTAAACTTTGTAAAAATAAACACAATTTTCATCATTGGTTTGTCTTTTAACTCCTATTTATTTATCTCAGTTTTCATAATGAATATAATTTATATTGAATAGTAGTTAGTAAACTATCAGTTATATGACCTGATAAAATACTGATTTGGAATATTTAAAAAGTGTTAGACATTCCATGATTTTGAACTTCTATAAGTGAAATTCTTTCCCTGTAACCCCATCAAAAAATATAATGTCCATCCATCTGAGTCATTTTTTTGAAGACTTTTCAAATTCTGGGACCAGTAGTGTGCTGCACTTTGAACAAGAACCCCTGGCTCATGGACACACCACATCTGTAAAAACAGACCGCTCACTTTAGCACATGACATGGTTTGAATAGCTTCAGTACTTGCTGCTGTCAATGCCTCAATCAACACAGTATGTTTACCTTTAGCATTTTAAAATATGGAGGTAAATATAGTAACAAATGGTTTTTGAAGAACACTTAGCAATTAGCCATAAAAATATATTTTTAAAATAAATTGCTAAATTTAAATGACACATTACCCAAGAGGCAAATTATATCCTTCAATTGAAAACTGATGTATTTATCCAACTTACTAACATTGAAATATAGATACATTAACAAAATGTTACACCCTGAAATTAAGCATGTTTAATTCATCAGTATTAGTCACTTTTTATTTAGTCAAATATAATATATTAATGACTTAACTTTTACTTATCTAAAACTTATATAATAGTGTATGCATATCCACGTTTTTTTTTAATCTGTCAGAAAGCATTAGTTGTAAAATTATTAAGGTTAAAATACTAAAAGTACATTTTCAACATTCATTTTAGAGCTTACTGGTGTCTGACATCTCTTGGTTTCAAAACTTTTCCACAGGATTATTAAACTGTAATATCCATCCATCTGAGTCATTTTTTCTACAGCATAAGAAACTTTGTGGAACAGCTGCTTCTTTTGCTACCAATGCCTTTCATATCCATTACTTTCTTACTAAAAACTTAAGCATCATTTGTACTCTAGAAGAAACAGAAACAAGGATACCACTTTGCATATTGTAATGACAAGTCAGAGAGTTGAATTGCTACATTTTATTGTTTTTAATGTGATTGGACAAACAATTTTCTCATTAAGAGTCAAAATCAATAGGGTCAATGTGAAAGTTGTAAAGATCTCATTAATAAGATTAATTAGTGTTCTATGTTAGCTACACCAGCAAATACTTCAGATGGCTACTGTTAATTGAATTAGTAAGATTCAAGAAAAAAGTTTGCTTTTTTATTTTACCAATATTGTAATGAAAATTTTACATAGTAGTGCATTGACTACTAATAAAATCCTGTTTCATATCAGAGTTTAGAGAAATAAATGATCTAAATCTGAAAAAAAAAAGTTTAACATCCAAAGTGCCCATCTTCTTTTTTTCCCCACTGGAATGACAAAACACAATATTCTTCAAACCAAAGTTAAATTCTTATTAGTAAAGTTGAAAGGTGATAAAAATCAACAGCTAGATGAAAATATTGTCAGCAATTGTCAGCAATTCCCCCAAAATTCCAATTAATTAAAAATCCATAGGAACTAGATATGTTTAAAGTTCAGAGATTGGAAATGACTTCTTGTTATAATGAAAAAGCAGACTACCTACACATACTTTACAACTAACTGTGTAAAATGAAAATTAAACTTTGTTAAGTATAAGAACAAACACTCAGTGGTCAATAATATATATTGCTTTGGCCCAGAAATAAACTAGTTTTACCTTCCATGTGTGGAAGGTAATAGTGTACAGGGGAGATGACCCTTGAAATTAAGAATATTAAGATTCCAAGGCAAAGTACAGGACCCACCACAAAAGTGTCATATCAATTTCACAAAGAAGGCTGCATTCCATTATTAAACATTCAATTACAGGAGCTGTTCTATTTCTTAATAAACAAAGAATTTAATGATATTGATTTTTATCAATATTTTGTGAAGGATACTTTCCATTTTTGCTCCGTAAGAAAGACAAGTTATTTTGTACCATGTTAAGTCAAGATCTCTATACATATTACAGACTCACTTAAAATAAAACATTTCATACTATGTAATGTTTCCCATATGAAGGTCAGCCTTTAGCCACAAACTTATCACCAGACTGAAACTGAATGGATAGTCTTATAACTCTCCTGTTTACCCTGTACACCCACATCACCTTAGCAACAGGGGAGAAGAGACACTTCAAGTTTCCACAGGGCAAAAATCCATTGCTAAGCAAAAATTACAACCCAAATGCAGAAAACTACAGCTTGGTTTTTGGAAAACTACTTTCAAAATGTTAAGATTTAGTTGGTTGTCCCAATCCATTTTACTATAGACATGCAAAACAAGATAGAAGGCAAAACCATGCCCTATAATTAAACTTGCACCAAACCCACTCCCTCTTTCCACAAATAAGCAGTAACCTTTCATCCACCTCAAGCCAAAATTAAACTGAGACCAATTGTGAAAGATTTTCTTTTCTCCTTCCTGACCTCTAGGATTACTCTTTTCTAGTTTTCATTTCATCATGTCATTGGCTGCAATCTTGAAACAAGTACCTGCTTAAGCCCTGAAGTCTCTAGAGTCTTGTAAAATCAGTTCTAAAAGACTTGGGAGAAAGCCCAAGGCTATCCCCTACCTACTTCCTGGTGTGCCCAAGCATGGGGCTGCATGCCTTACCAATTCTCCTGTGACCTTTTCTCTGGGTGGTACTTACCTGCTGCTCCCTGGGCTCTGTAGATTTCACCAGGTGCTTATCCTTGTACAGAGACCAGAGACCAATATTGGGCAGGAAAATTAAAGCCACCATGAATAACAAAGTCATTTGCAGAAATCTCTTCTGTTTCCTCTTCATTGCAAATGGTAACAGAGGAGAAAAGTTAAAGGAGATGGTTCCCTGACTGCTTCTTGTGTTTAATGCCAATGTCCTTTCCTCTCCCCTGTGAAGCACCAGAAACTGAGGGGAAGCTACAAACTTTTGTTGCGTGCTCAGCACCAATCTGCACGATTCAGAGGGAGTTGGCCATCTGCAGAACAAACGCACAGTTACTTTTCCCCCAGAAAACTATGACGAAGGCATTATCTATTGGCTTAGAAATAAATGACTTAACTGAGGAAATCGTTAAGCCTATTGACCTTCATTAATAAAAAGCAATGGAGTAAATATGATCGTTTTATAGAGTAATAAGTTATGAAAAAGGGAATAGCATGCTAGATACTTCAATCAACAGAAGGTGTTTGTTGTTGTCGCTGTTCGCCCACCATCCCCCTTTAGTGTGGGAGGTCTGGGTTGGGGAGGAGCAGGTTAGGAGAGAGAACTGAGAGAGAGGGAGTGGCTTGGCCCCATCAAGTGTCAGGAAGAAAAGTGTCCGCTTTTGACATTGGAACATCACCTTCCTTGTCTTCCCCAACATCTCCTCCTGTGCTACCCTTGGGATAACCCACCTGAACTCAAGTTCAACTCTCTCAGGAGCCAGCTTGCCAGTGGGCTCCACCGGGATCCAGRGACACGATATCCAGGGCAGAACTCCTGTTTGGATGGAGGCTCACGAACTCCTGGATCCTCACGCGCTGCCTAAATACTCCTGGGCAGGCAGTGGCTCTGCGACCTGGGAACCTGGAGGAGGGAGGCTACAGATGTCAGCGGAGTCCAGCCAGGAAGTGCAGGCGCCGAGACGTCCCTTCCCCGAGTAGTCCTCGGAATGAGATCCTCCGCGAAGTCAGCGCTCTGCCCATCAATCTCTTCCCCTTCCTCSGGTGACGCTCTCACGCTCCGCTGTTCATGTTACCATTCTTTTCCGGCAACTGAACGAACCCAGAGAAACATCGTGAGCACCTAAAAGGCAATATTTTAAATCTCCTCTTCACGTACCAGGGGGGCGGGGGCAGACGGCGAAACCCAAGTCTGAGCTGGGCTTTGGAAGTGGGCGAGGGCGCCCGAAGGATGAGCAGAAGGCGAAGGAGCGCCGCGCTGGCACCCGGCCGCCCGCACTCCGCGGGCGGTCGTGGTCCTTGTGCGGAGACGATACTGGTGCCTGCCACGTGCGGGAGCCCAGACCCTGAGCCCGAGAGGGAAGGGCGGGCTGCCCAAAGGGGTGGGCAGTGCCCCCAGGCTTCCAGATGCTGAATAAACAAACCAGCGGCGAGGAAGAAAAGGAGGGCGAAGGCGCTTCAGGAAGAGCCTTTGGAGCTCCCAGACTACGCGGATCCTCCGTTTCTCCACCAGGGCTGTTCAGTGCCACCTCGGACAGACAGGGCTACTAGCTCCCCTGTGTTCTCACCCAAAAGGCGCCAGGCCAGAGATTCCGGAGGAAAAGTCGCCAGATGCACACGGGTTTACCCGGGATTCCTCCATGGAGCCGGTGGGAGCTTGGTGAGCCTGGCGCGGCGGCCGCAGGACGCAGAGGCGACCCGGGGCTGGACCCGTCCCACCGAGAGGGGTTTCCCCGGTCCGTGTGTCCCCAGGCTCAGGGCAGGTACGTGATAYGGGAGAGGAGGAAGAGGATCCCCAAGCGAGGCAGGGTTCTCCGGCTGCAGCTTCTGGAGGACACAGTGGAGACCCGAGGCAGCTGTACTTGGGTCTGCAAACACCCAGGGCCCTGGTTAAGATTTGGCAGTGCCACCCACTCCTGCCTCGCCGTGTACGCCTGCACTCCGTGCTCCGTAGTACTGCAAGGGCTACCTGTCCCTCTCCGACCTCGCACCCTCCTGGCTGGATGGCCAGAAATCCTGGGGAATCGACACAAGTCTGTGGCAGATGGGACTCCTCCCTCCCCTCGAACAGATTGATGCACCAGCGCCCCTGACCGCACAAGTGGGAACCTGTGGCAGTCTCTCCACCTGACCAGCGTGCCTAGGACCTTGCGCTGTGTTCTCTCCTGATCAAGAGCTTTCAGTCATGAAGGAATGGGGATTAGATGAGGCGACAGATGTGCATGCAGTGAAGGCTGTATCAGCCTGTTTAGAGCCAAAAAGAAACGCCATGGTCACCTCTTTGTTACAACCTAGACAAGATGCCCAGGAGCTTGGGATGGAAGAGACTCTGGGCTCCAGACGGTATTTCTTTTTTCCCTTCTTTCCTCCTCCTCTCCCCCACCTCTCCCCTCCCTCCTTTTTGTCTCCTCCCCACTCTCCCTCCGCTTCCCATTCCTGTCTCTCACTTAAGCGTCTCACTTGAGAATGACATAGATTTCAGTTTGAAGAGCTGTGCCTTAAATTCCTCACGTTTTTGAAGAGTTGGCCTTAACTTCCTCACGTTACCAATTTCAAATAGACTAAAACAAAGGAGATTGGCTGTATGACCTCATGAATAAAGCTCTATGCTATAATATTTGTTTTTGCTTATCACTGGTGTTTCGAAACAGCATAAAAACACATTTCACAAACATTTTAGAACGTGTCCTTGATATATAAAAGTGATTATTTTAAAATGTTATAAACTTGCAGTTTAAGATTCTAGAGAGAAAGGGATGTGATTCCTCACCTCTATTCCCACACACTTGTACAGTTTTGTACTCTGAATTATTTTCTAACCCGTTTCCCTCTAAAAGAGTGTGATTCTGATATATGAAAATATGAATTCTGGGAAGCCACACAACAGRGAGAGTTTTGCTGGGATGATTGATCCTCAAGGAAAGGAATTTGGAGAATTACTTAAGTATATTGGATATTTCCTGACTTGCAGAGTTACTGGTAATATGAAAAGTTAAAAAAAATAAAAATTTAGAGTACATTTGGAATTCAAAAATTTTAACCCTTCACATTTTAAACAAACACAGGGTTTTTATGCCTTAAATACACATAATCTCATTCTACTTGCTAAATCCAGATGCTGAATTGAATTGTGCTTCATTATTATGTTCATAAATAGTCTTACATATAATACCCATTCACAGGACATTATCAGTCACAGTGAATGCATACAACTGTTAATTTCCCAGTCAAGTACATGCARAATACATAATAGCAACCTAAAGGAGAAAGTTATTTCACAATATAGTTAAGACCATCATTTTTGATCCTTCCAACTGATGAATTTTTTAAATTTTTACTTAGAGAATGATTTCCTTTTGCTTTTCACACTGGTCTATGTCTAAATAGGAATGGGCAAACTCCTTTAAATTGGTTATTAATATTGGTTTAATCCAGATTCTTACATCTTATAAAATTTGTCTTAGACAAAAAAAATCCCAGTGTTCTTGTCTCCATCATGTTATGATTCAACTGGCAATCTCAGGTAGTCAAAGTCCCATGTGCCTAGAAAGGTGCTAATTGCTATGGGAACTCATGAAAAGAAAACAGAGCTATGGTCTGTGACCTTTAATGACTTACACTGTTGTTCAAAATGCAAAATAAAGGTGATTGCAATAATATATAAAAGCGATTTGTACTGACCTTAAATTGGGCCAAACTGAAGTCCTACCTTGAATGTAATCAGGAAGAGGTGGTAAGCATTTTGCTCACACATGTATGGTTCCCCCTCTACTCTAAAATATAGCATTGATTTTGTTGTCTCTCTATACTGTGCATTGGATGGGCTCAACTGGGTGTTTCTGTTTCACGTGATATGGGCATTTGAGTAGGCTTGGTAAAGATGGCTAGCCCTTGGTAATATTAGCTAGAAGATCTTCTGGGACATTCAAGTGTAGCTCCTGGGTTCTCCTCCACATGACGGATGCATATGGCCTGAGCTTCTTTATGATCCAAGTGGGAGCATTCCAAGAACACGTGTTCCATGAGGAAGAAATCAAAAGCTGTCAAATCCTTATAAGAACTAGGCTCAGAATATGCACACCTAACTTCTACAATATTCACAAGCTCAGCCCAAGGTCTAGGGTGAATTGGAGTAGGGAGATAAAATTTACATCTAAATGAGGGATTGAATAAAGACCTAGGGGTCATCTTTAATTTACAATGGGTTTCCAAATGTACAGAGGTAGGGGTTCATAAGGAGGCATAACCAGCTTAACATGGAGAGTAGTGGGGAAAGACTTCCCTAGTTGTGTTGAGTTGAATTATCCAAATGCTACTTGATAATGAGCTGATTTATTTTTTAAGTTTAAAAACAGGTTTATTGCCTTATTTAAACAAACAAATAAACATGGTACCATGGATGGAACTTAATTTGAAAGAAAAACACTCATCCTTGATTTTGCTATATTAATTAATATTTTTAAATTGACTAGTTCAAAACTTTACAAATGAAAAGATAATAACTGCTCAAAGTCTACTTATCATATACTAAAGAAAGGTCATCAACATCAATCTTTTGGGTACATATTTTTATGCAACACTCTAAACACAAATTAATAAAAATTACTTAATTATAGCAATTACAATTATTAATTATAGCAATTACAATTAAAATTTACAATAATTTATTTTAAGGGTATAGATAGTACTTTACATAAAATGTTTAGTACTTTATTGAAATTTACCAATGAAACAATAATTTGATTAATTTAGTCTTAAAATGATGAAGTTTATTTCCATTGGCATGAGTTTTTTTCTAAATTTTTATCAAGAAATATAGAAACTAAAATATAAAGATAATTGGAAATGGAGATTCATTCCATGCTTTCATTCAAAATATATTTTTGGAATACAAAAAAAGTCTTGAAAGTTTTAACTATGTGTAATTATTAGAAGATGTTATTATCAGGCTATGTTTGACTAAGTTCTTAGCTCCTAGTTCTTTTTTAAAAGAAGTGATTCTGTAATGAAAAAAAAAAAAGATGAGCTGGGCACGGTGGTGTAAACCTGTAATCCCAGTAGCTCAGGAGGCTGAGGCAGGAGGATCCCAAGCTCAAAGCCAGCCTCAGCAACTTATAGAGGCACTCAGCAACTTGGCCAGACTCTGTCTCTAAATAAAATATTTTAAAAGGATTGAGGATGTGAATCAGTGGTTAAGCACCCTGGGTTCAATCCTCAGTACCAACAAAAAAAAAAAAAAAAGAAAGAAAGAAACATGAAAGTGTTGAATAATAAATAAAAGTAAATATAAATTTAAATTATACCATTCATTTCATGTAATTAAATTAAGACACATATTATGGAATCTTCCATTTTTCCCTAGAACTTCATTGTTTGTCATTTTATAATAGAATCCTAGACTCTATCATCTCTGAAATTCTTCATCAAAAGTACTCAGAATCAATTTTTGTATATATGCATTTGCTGTTGGATAGAGCATATGAAGTTGACTATTCTTACAAAAGTTTCAGCACCAGGAGGGAGGTAAAAGGTGCTTGCAATTAAATGTGGTACAAATTTGAAAAGTAACAAATGCTACAAAGGAAAGAAGTTTGTTTCTACTTGACCTAGGTATTTTCTACCCAAACAAGATCTTTACCTTGTGAAATTGAATCTCTTAGCAATCTAATTTACTTCTACCAAAAGAAAATGATCATCCCTCAGTAACTATGTATTCAGGACTATCACTTCCATACAAAATCCATGCATGCTCAAGTTCCTTATATAAAATAGTGCAGAAAACCGCATCTTCCTATATGCTTTCAATATCCTATAGTATATGTACAATGTCTAATACAATGTAAATGCCATGTAAATAGTTGTTATATTGTATTATTCGGAGTAATAGCAGAAGAAAAGTCTGTAATTGTACATGATTAATACAAATGCATTTTTTCCTAAATATTCTTCACGTTGTTGGTTGAGTTCTCAGATAAGAAACCCATAGATACAGAAGAATGACTATTTTCTTTCCTTTATTTAGTCATCAAACTTTATTTAGCACATAGTATGTACTAGGTACATATATAAACATTGCTATTTTATCTTACAAATGATCCTAGAATATAGGTAGCTTAGAAAGCTGAGACAAAGAGGTGGTAAGCATTTTGCTCACACACGTAACTGGCAAGTTGCTAGGGCAGGGATGTGAACTCAGATTCCAGGATGTTAACCACAATACAATATCGTCATAAAGTCTTACTTTTTTTTTAACAAAAGAGTTAATTTTCACTGTCTCTTTTTACTT